CCAACTATAATAACAACTGGCCTGAGAAAACTATACACACTAGGGCAATAATGTCACAAATATTATAGGAGTAACCAACCACCAATGGGACCTATATCTGGCACTGGTGTTGAAACAAAGAACCTGTGGATAAATAGGTCATAGCTCCTAAGGGAGAATCTACTACTAATATTCTACTAAAGGGACATAGTATTAAAATGATTTCTAATGACTTATTACTATACACATAGATTACTATATCTCTTAACCCCCATCAGAGAAGCTTCTGTTTGCACTGGAAGGCCGTTATCACAAAGACCCACAACTGGTCAAAGTGCAGAGAATAAGAGACTGCAGAGTGCTTGGCCCCAAAAGGGACATTAATGTCACACTCCTCTACCTAAGGTTCATGAATCATGAAAAAATAAGGGGCATAAAAGTTGTAAGAGCTGGGGCTGGAAAGATGGCTCAGCGGTTCAGAGCACTGGCTGCTCTTGCAGAGAACCTGGGTTCAATTCCCAGCACCCACATGGTAGCTGACAACTCTCTATAACTCCAGTTCCAGGGGAATTCTATGCCTCTTCTGACCTCCACGGACATTTCACAACACAGGTGCACTTACATACATAGAGGCAATGCACTCATACAAATAAAATAAAAATAAAAATAAAATATATTTAAAAATCATAAGAACCAGAAGTGATGGTCACTATCAAGGAAACGGTGCTTTCCAGACAGCAGAGCAGTTGCACATCTGAACTTACAGCAATTTCAACAGCATGCACAAGATCTAACCAAACTCAAGCCAGACAAAATCCCAGTATGGAGGGGAGGAGGTGGGAAGAAAGTCCTACCCCTGCTGAGGACCTATTGGCATTTGGTAGCTTCTGGGACAAGAGGTGTCAGTTTTCTTTAACAGTGTGGCCCTTGCTCAACCATAATTCCACACCCAAGAGTATTTGATCAACACATATTGGACTTAGCAGAGAGGGAAAAAAGGACACAAAGTTGGGTGCATAAGAAGATGCAGATGGACATGGGAGTTGAGAGAAGGGAAAATATGATCATAATACATTGTATAAACTTCTCAAATAATTAATACATATTTTTTTGAAACTATAGGCATAGGTAAGGGCTTTCTGAGTAGGACTCTGGCGACTCAGGAAACAAGGTCAAAAATCGGCAAGTGAGATCTCTTCTAATTAAAAAGCTTCTTCAGAGCAAACGAAACTAGATCTGGGCTGGAAACTTCCTCCCTGCTGGCTGGCCTTCATAGTGTAAGAAGGTGCTATGCAGGGCTGGGGTGGGGTGTAATTGTTATCAACAGCCTTTCTCAACTGTGAACCCTGCATGTAACAATACTGACCATCCAGGCAAGACATGCCCATTGGTGCAATAATGGCAAGTCTGTTATAGGGGTAACTTTATGATTGGATTTGAGGACCACACTATGGAAGGAAATTTGCTTCTGATCAGAAGCCATGGCTGAGGAAATTATGGACCAAATGGGAAGCTTCTGCTGTTGTTTTGTTAAATGGACATGATGTGCCTGTCAAATTATCTTCTAGGGCTGGAAAGATGGCTCAGCGGTTAAGAGCACTGGCTGCTCTTGCAAAAAGACCCAGGTTCGAATTCCATCACCCACATGGGCAGTTAATCATTTGTAACTCCAGTTCCAGGGGTTCTGACGCAGTCTTCTGTCCTATGCAAGCACTGCACGACCACGGGTGCACTTCCATACATGCAGGCATAACACTTGTACACATAAAATAAAGTAAACAAATCACCTTCTAAATGATCATGTTTATGCCCATAGATTATTGCTGATATCATCTTTGGTCAGAGAAGCTTCATTTTTCAGTGAGCAGTGGTTCTGCAGGCTAGGAACTGGTCAAAGTACTGAGAATAAGGGACTATTGAATGCTCAGCCATAAACAGGATACCTATATTACCCTTTCCAAGGCTCAAAGAACATCACTGAGAAAGGAGTACAAAGGATCAAGAGCTTGAGGAAGCAGTGGCGGGGCTGTGGAATGCCAAGTTTTAGGCTTAACATGACTGCTGCACTCTTGAATTCACCGCTGTGATGACAAGATCTTTTAAAAATCGGAGAGGGAAGGGGGTCATGAGACCCTACCCCTCCCTAAGGATTTATGCACCGTTAATGCTTGATAGGGAGACACATTTTCTTTTGTGATGTAGCCACTACCACTAAAGGTGCCCATTGCTCCTTAAACAACCCCATACCCATGCTCCTGTAAGCAACAGAAACCCTAATGACACTCATTGGGTCATCAAAAAGTTGTTTGTTTGTTTGTTTGTTTGTTTTCTTTAAAAGATCGCAGGACATGGTGCTGCACGCCTTTAATCACAGCACTGGGGAGGCAGAGGCAGGCAGATCTCTGTGAGCTCAAGGCCAGCCTGAACATAGTGAGTTCCAGGACAGCTGGGTCTACAGGAAGACCCTGTCTCAAAAAAGACCAAAAAAAAAAAAAAAGAAGAAAAAAGATCAGGGTCTCTAGTCAAAAGGCCTGTTGGGCTTAAGGACATATTCATTGATAGTGAGGGTCAGAGTCAAGGCCATGGTTAGGGTAGGATAGTTTAGGTCAATTTCAGGGTAACAGTCAAGATTAAGTGTTAAGATTGAGGGTCAGAGTCAAGATAAAAGCCAAAGTTACTTTATCATCAGGATCAGTATGAATGTCAAAAGTCCATATCTGTATGGAATTCAAATCATTGTGAGCATTAGGCATCTATCATGGTCAGAGTGAAGGTCAGATGGGGTAGAGTGTCAGAATTGAAGATGAGGCTTCAGTTCAGAGTCAGCCTTAGGTCAGGATCAACTTCAGAATATGGATAAAGTAGGTCTGTAACTATAATATTTCACCTATTGTTTACGCCTTATTCTAGAATTGACTCAAGGACTTCTATGACACCAAAAGAAGATTTATACTTTTAGCCAAATTCTAGTTAACTTTTCTTCAGGAAGAGTAATGGATTTGAGGTATGCACTTTATTTTTATTATTATGATTACCAGAGAGTCCACCATCTCTAAAAAAAAATTAAAGCATTCCAGATTTTTCTTCTAGGTAGGCTTCTGACTAGGCATACAATGCTAGGAATATAAGAACATGAACACCATTGAAAGGTTTTTCTGTCCTGAAAAAAATGTACTTTCACAGGGCTAGAGAGCTGGCTCAGCAATTAAGAGCACTGACTGCTCTCACAGAGGACCTGGGTTCAATTCCCAACACCCACATGGCAGCTAGCAACCATATGTAACTCCAGTTTTAGGGGATCCAACACCTTCTTATGACCTTCTGAGGCACTGCACCACTTTCACTGCGAAAGGAGTACAAAGGATCAAGAGCTTGAGGGAGCAGTGGCAGGGTGCACTTATACACATGCAGGTGCACTTATACACATGCAGGCAATACACTTATATACATGAAATAATAAATAAAATATTTTTTAAAAAGAAAAAATGTACCTTCTCAATTTCATGTTGCTTATGGAATGGTTAGAGTTTAGTTGTTTAACTTCGCACATGTATCTATGAACTTATTATCTTCCTTGGTCTGAGCATTTGAGGAATGGCTAAATAGCTTCCCAAGGCTTATGTAAAGATTATCTTCATGAATAAAGGTAAAGTGTCTTCTGACTACTCTTTTCAGGTACACTGTGCACAGCAAGAGTATAAATCCAAAACCTTCTATAGTTTCTCAATTTTTTTTTTTTGTCTTTTTGAAAGAGGGCCTCTCTGTAGCTCCACCTGTCCTGGTGGGGAACTTACTATGTAGCCCAGGCTGGCCTCGAGCTCACAAAGATCCGCCCACCTCTGCCTCCCAAGTGCTGGGATTAAAGGCATGTGCCATCACACCTGGCTTTCTCAATTACTCTTTAAGGCCACTAGTCTGGGTCTTGTTGAGAAGGTGAAGCTGTTTGTATTCAAGGGCTTGAATTCTGATTAATAGATTTGCCAAGATGTTCAGGGGGAAGTCTTTAGCCACTGCTAAGACAACCTGCAGGGGATCATGAAGCCTGTTTCCCTGAGAGGCTGCCACTTCCACAAAGTTGAGGACTTCCTCACACCCCCAAATTTGGAAGGATGCCTGAGGGAACTGTGCTGTCTCCCTTTTTATCATGAACCACAGTGCAAACACAGCAGGCAAGCACGCACACACTTGCACACACACACACACACACTCCCTCAGAGGTCAGGGGTTCACAGATCTGAGGAGAAAGTTTCTTGGTGACAGGAACTATAGAACAATACAGTTGTTCCCTTGGTACCAAAATTTTCCCACTAGAGAGAAAACAGAAAGCGACATGGAAGCACTCTGCCTTCTCACCTAACCACCCCTCCCACCTTCCCCCTCTGTGTTATCAGGCTTTTGCAGGAGACTGAACTGAGGCCCTAAAACCTCTGTTTCCTTTTTTCAAAGCTAATGAAAAACTAGCATGGCTAGTCCCTTAAAATGAAAAGTCTGGGAGAAGGCTAAGGCGGCTCAAAAGCTGGCTGCTTCTGTTTCCGGGTCTGAGACCTGTACTGAGGGATAATGGAGCCAAAGGTAAGGGACTTCCCACCTGGAGTATAAATGATGTACTGAATGGTTCCCAACCTTAAATTACCATGGGAGTCCTGGGAGTGCCCAGTCTGTGGTAGACTTGGAGTCAGAGGAACCTGTAATACTGTCTAGCTGGATCTAAGGGAGAAAGATTGCAACATCAAGGCAGTAGACCTGGCAGATGATAAACCAGGGGTCTGCAATGGCTTTCTGCTAGATAAGTGAGTCAGGGGCCATTTCTAGAGGACTACTGTCTGTCTTGTTTTAAACCACCTTCCTTACCCCATCACTTTCTCTTCACTTCCTGCCTGGTCAAATAGTCATCCTATTCTAGTACCGCCCGGTGTTTACTTAACCCTGCCAACCTCTGCTGTGCTGAAGAACCAAATGTCCTCACATCCAGGAATAATAGAAAAAGAGCCAGGAGTTAACAAACCAGTGTTGGTCTTTATTAGGACGTCAAGGTACAGCAACACCGTGGAAGTATATGGTCTGAGGACATGAAGAAACCAGAGCCAAGACTTCAGGGTTTCTTAGATATTATGCCCTGAGCCTTATTCTATGATGAAGGCAGTACAGAGGGCTCCTGAGACTTCAGAAAGGCTCTATATTTGGCCAGGAAATGGCTGCCCAAAGTATTCAGCTCTTCCCGAAGTTCTTGCAGAGCCCTGTCTTGCTCTTGCTGCGCCCCCACCAAGTGCTTCTTGTAATAGGTGGTGTACAAGTTCACCCAGTCATCAACTACAGTCTTCATGTCTTCTTCAGAGACAAGAGGCTCATTAAAGACCTGGGAGTGAAAGGGAAGGAGGTGGTGAGGGAAATGTGGTCAGCTGTGTGGAACAAGAACAGTCTCCTAAATTCTCACATCCTCTTCTGTTTGCATTCCCCTGTTTCAAGATGGTTCTATCAACTTCACTGCTGCCCTTACAGCTTCAAAGCATACTTCTCTGCCCTCCCTTCAACACATCGATCTCTGTCCTTTGAAACAGACTGCATGGGTTTACCTGCTGATTCAGGAGACCATTAAATTCCTTTTTTCCTGCAGAAATTAGATCCTCATTGGTCTGAAAAAGGGCCATCTGTCAGTTAAATGAAGAGGTAAAATTTAATTACCCTTTTCCCTCATCCCTGAGCAGTACCAGCAATTCTCTCATCCTCCCCTACCCACACCCCCCCAAAGATCCCTCATGCTCTGAAGGAATCTCCTTTCCAAAACCCTTCAAATCCTGCTCTGCTCTGAGTCACATTTCTCCCAGCTTGGGCTCACCTTCAAGTGCAACAGTGCCCACACTCTTCAGGGTATGTGCGTCGTGTGTGCTAAGCTAGAGTTAGGCAAAGAGTCAGGAGTGAGCCTAAGAAGGAAACGCCCTGCATTGAGGTCCTGAAGGAGGATGATAGGTCCATCTTGGGGTGGAGAAGGTGGGTGGTGAGGCTTCTCTGAAACTATAAAGATAGAACAAGAAAAAAAAATAGATAAAGACAGAAAATGCAAAACAGACCAGAGACATATGCTTGCCCTTTCCCCCACAATCCAATAACCAGACTCAAAACTCTAAGAAAACTAACATTTACTGAGCCTGTTACATAACATGCACTTATACATCATATACAACGTCACAGCAATCAGTTCCCCTAATCCATGTCATGTTAACAGGAGTTCAAATGACAAGCTGTAATTCCAGCACTCCAGAGGCAGAGGGAGAATTGCAAGTTAAAGGCCAATCCCAGCCTATATGAAAACAAGACCTTGTTCTCAAAAAAAAGAAAAAGAAAAAAAAAGCAGTTTACATGACATTTATTCTTTCATGTTAGATACAGTTTCAAGCATAGGTATTTAATTTTACAAAAATTCTGAATATATACATAATGAGGCTTTTTCCAACTGTAAAAAAATGAAATTTTGTCTGCAAGAAAATGAATAGATATGGAGATTATTGTGTTAAGACTCAGAAATATAGATATCATATGTTTTCTCTCAAATGTTGAATCTAAATTTAAGTATACATGGAATGAGGGGGCTGGAGAGATGGCTCAGTGGTTAAGAGTGCTTACTGCTCTTATAGAGGATCAGAGTTCCAGTTCCCAGCACCCACATAGATGCTGACAAACTGCCTGTAACTCCAGTTCCAGGGGAGCTACTTCCATGGGCACTCACACACCCGCAGTGCACATACATCTCCTCAGGCACACACACATAAAATTATACACATATATATGTGGGATGAAAGCAGAGGGAGGGCTGTCTAAGGAGAGGAGAACTCTAAAAGGCAGGGGAGGGGAGACAAGAGAGTAACGGGAAAGAAAGACAAATGTCACGTTTTCATATATTGAATCTAGAGTTAAATATAGGACATTATCTATGTGACACTAAAGCAAAGAGGGACCATTTGGGAGGAGGAGGAAGAGGAGAAGAGGAAGACCAAGGCAGGATATTTGGGGGCAAATACCAACAAAGCACAATGACAAATATGTGTGAAAGTGTCACAGAGAAACCCACTCATTTGTATGTTAACTAAAACATTTTTAAACAAAACGTATTTTGGGATAATTTTGCTAATGAATCATCTATAAGATATAGGACTGGACTCTACAAGTATATGTTCCACAAGAATGGAGATGCTGCCAGACAGGGAAGTGCATGCTTGTAATGTCAGTACTTGAGATGCAGGAGGATCATAAGCACCAAGTCAGCCTGGGCTACATAATGAGATTGCGTATCTTAAGAAGAAGATGATGGGGGGGCGGTGATGGTGCATGGAGGACAGGGAAAAAGACGAAGATCAGAGATGCATTTGTCTTGCTCTCAATCAGCTCACCAAAAATATATCTGTAGTAGTAGAAAGATCAGTGGTTACCCAGGATCATAATACAAATGTCACAATCAAGATACAGAAATACAGGGTTGGGGGAGGGCTGGGAAGATGGCTCAGAGTTTAAAAGCACTGTCTGCTCTTGCAGAGGACCCAGGTTCAGTTCTCAGCACTCACATGGCAGCTAACAACCATCTTCAACTCCAGTTCCAGGGGTCTGATGCCCTCTTCTGACCTCCATGGGCATTGCATTGCATACGTTCAGGCAAAACACTCATTCACATAAAATAAAAATAAATAAATAATTTAATAAATAAAATACTGCTCTGAGGACCAGAGTTCAGATCCAGGAATCCAAATTTGGAAGCTAACAAACACTGTAACTCCAGCTCTGGCCACCTTCTGACCTCTGTGGGCACCTGAACCCACACGTGTACATGCACACACACACACACACACACACACACACACACACACTACATAGAGTGTGTGCACTGTGTGCCAAATCTGACTTAAGACCTTTTACATATGATTCATTGAATCCTCATCCTTACCCTATGAGGTATGTACTAGTATTATTTCCATTTTTCAAAAGAAGAAAGGGAATGCCAGAGAGATACGTAACTTGCCCAAAATCTCACAACTACAAATCTGCATTCAAATAAAGCCCTCAGGAAAAATTCATTAATAGAAGTTAGCTTTTTCAGAGTTTAGTTCACTAAAGAAGCTAGCATTAAAAATATAACAATCCTTGTAGCCTTTCAGAAAGTCAATTTTTTTTTAAGTAACAGGGTTTATCTCAGCTCAGAGAGATTCTGTGTTGTGTCAGATAAGATGAGACAACCCGTCCAGACTACAGTCATGAGGAAATCAATAGTCTGTGAGAATCGGAAGTTTCCAGTATGGAGTTGTCAGCTGGGATCAAGCTGGAGCTGAGGCGTCCAAGAATGCCTGACTAAGAAGCAAGGACATTTTATTTTCTGATTTAAAGAAAAAAGAAGATGCTTTTGGCAAATTCCTACTTTAAGGCTGGTTTAGGAGGAAGAGGAAAAAACGAAAAGAAAAAAGATGAATTTAAAGGGAAAAAACATTCTGGCTTTAGATTCTTCTCCCAATTCACCCCTAAAAAAAAATGCACAAGAACTTCCTCCCTTACTTATCCTGTTTTCTGACACTATTATTTTAACCCCTTGATCTTACCACCCCCTCATAATCCTTAGAAGCCTTCAGAAATAATATTCTACTAGTTTGGGGAAGGCTGAAGAGCAGAGAGCCTCTAGTCAATGGTAAGTGGTAGTGAACCAAGTTATCTACTTGCTGTTTTAATAAGCCAATGACTTGGGGACAAGTGTTGGGGCAAAGAAAACTATCTATTTGGAAAGCCAGAAAACCAAGGAAGCCGAGAGGTTAATGCCAATAAAAAGCATCTTAGGGTAGCTGGGCATGTGAAAGGGCTTTATGAAAGGAGAACGGAGCAATAAGCTACAAAGTACTAATGACTAAGGAAAATTTGCAAAGCAAGAAATTGGTGACTAGAGGTTCTTGGTGCCTCTCCAATGACCTAAGGCCAATTATCTTAGTTACTCTTACTTGATGTCTTCACCCCAGAAAGGGAAGAGGGAGGTAGGCAAATTTAAGTCAAACCAATCTTGCATTAAAGTTCTAGACAAATATTTCTTAAATCATTAATATGTCTACATGCGGAATTGAGCAAAAACAGTCTGATCCAAAGGTCAAGTGAGAAAAGGAAACACCAGTCTGAAGGCAAAGATGATGTTGCTGAAACCTTGCTCTGGCTTCCCCTCAGTCCTTGTGGTCTCTACTAAAAGAATTTGGGTGAGACACACAGTGTAGTGTAGAAAAGAGAGTTTAGTACAGAGTAATAAGGGATGAGAATAGGCAATGGCCAAAATATATGTGGAAGAAAACACTCCAGCAATGGCCAGAGGGACCATCTGTTATCAACCTACATGCTTAGGGACAGCATGTATGTAGTAACTATAAAAGACCATATACCTTTTGGCTGGATGATGTGGGTGCTCTTTCCTCAGAGATCTGGCCCGCTTCCTTTCTTGGGAGTGTTTTCCCTTTGAATAATTTAAACTGGTGTAGCCACTATGAAAATCAGTAAGCATATTCTGCAAAAAAACTAAAAATAGAACTACCTTATGATCCAGCTCTACCACTCCTAGGAATACACCAAAGAACTCTATGTCCTACCACAAAGATACTTATATATAGCTGTGCTTACTGCTGCACTATTCACAATAGCTAAGAAACGAAACCAGTCTAGATTTCCATCAGCAGAGGAATGGATAGAGGATGGTGGCACATATACACAATGGAATTTTATTCAGTATTAAAGAAAAGTGAAATTATGATATTTGCAGGAAAATAGGTGTAATTAGAGACTGTTTCATGTTGTTGTGTGCATCTTGAGGGCGCGGTTTCACCCCCGCGCTGCCGCTGGCTGGGGTGCGCGGGTTTCGCGCACCACTGGGCGGATCTCTCTGGCTCTCCACAGGCTCTCCGCAGCTGCTGGGAAGTGCAGGCCGGGCTTTGTAGGATCAGCTGGTCTGTGCAGGGCGCTGGCAGCTCTGTGGGTGGCTGCTAGCTGCCGGGCGGGTTCTGCACCAAGCTGCAGGCAGGCTGGCTAGCTGTTGGACGCTCCCTCTGTGCACACGATCCATTGGCCACCGGATCACGAGGGCGGGGGAGGTGCAGGAACAGTGAACGCAAGATCTTCGCAAGTGGTTGTTGACGGAAGGATAGCCCCCTCAGGGAAGACTGAATCACAGGCTGTTTCCAGACGCAGTGAGACACAGATACAGCTCCAGACAAGTTCAGTGATACAGCTTCGCTTTATTGGGGTGAAACCAGAAGATTTATAGTGTGGAGGCAGTAGCAAAAGCCTCAGCTGATAGGTGCTCCTAGGATGCCCCATTTACATGTGGCGGTGGGCTTCTATCAGGCTGTCAGACAATGCCTGATTATCACATAGGAAAAACCTGGCAGTTTCTAGTCCTCTCTCACAAGCTTTTGATGGACTGTAGGTGGTACCCTTAGCCTGACATTTGCCTCTGCCCAGCTACCCTGGATGATCTCGGGATGACAGCATAGAGGATGCTGACTCAAGTCCTCAGAGGTCTTCGATCACTCTCCACTGTCCCATTTCCCACCTTTGCAAGCGCCTATGACTGTTCACATAGCCAGCTTCAACATCTTGTTGAAAACACAGAGATGCTATGTTTGGGCTTCCCTTGAGGTGTTCCCTGCCCTGTGGCCTGACCTTGTGGGGCTCAGGCTCACAAGGGACTTTGGTTCTAGAATGCAGGCAAAGGAAAACACAAGGGATTCTTATTTTTCCTGTGTATGTGTGTGCATGGTGCACATGTGTGGGTGTCTGTGGAGGCCAGAAGAGGGCATCAGATCCCCTGAAGCTTGAACAGGCCATTTTGAGCTGCCTGATGTGGGTGCTGGAAACCAAACTCTAGTCCTCTGAAAGAGTAGCAAGCACTTTTAACCACCAAGTCATCTCTCTAGTCCCAAGGTAGTTTGAATTTAAAATAAAAGATTG